TGATGACGAAACAAAAACGACTGAACTGTAATGAATATTGGAAAATGAACTCACTTGCACAAAGTGTAATGACGCATCAGGCGTGTGTGTAGTTCTTTAAACATCTATTTAGGGGGATGCGACGTTGAAAACGTCTTGTAGTGACGAAGCAGACTGTTGTTGTGACGGCGTGATTGTCTAGACGTCATTTCCGGCGTACGGCGTCATGGGGGACGGCCTTGGTTACGGGGGACTGTATGCAGCTGAAAGTTGAAAAATGCTACTTTTACAAACTTTTAGGGGTTGGTGTGGTTAAAGGACGGGCTGCACGTGTGAACAGGTATATTTCTAAGGTTTAGAAGTAATAAAATAGAGAATCTATTGAGAACTAAGGGCGAAAAACGGGGCGGCAGTGCAAAATAAGACGAATGTGAAGATGTAGGCAAAGCTAAGAGTTCTAATTTTTGATTGAAATATGAGTGGTGGGCCATTCCCGGAGGTACTGCAATACCGGGTCAACCCGTGATGAGGGCGGAGCAAGCCCCGTGGCACCTCATCCCATTCTAAAAATCAGTTTAATATCGATGTCTCCATTAGGAGACGTATCAGATATTAAGCTGATAAGAACAGATACTACACTTTGATCTTAGCCAAAAGGCCGAGAAGCGATGCCGGTTGCCGGCTTGCGCCGCCAAAGTACATCTACTGACACAACATACCATTTAGCTGCTGTTTATTTACATGAAGCGCTTAAAATCAGTGGCCAGCAATATTACATGCACAAATAAACAATTCTTTTAAAGCGTCTTAAAATCCCTGTGAAGGCGGTATAATTTCTTGCAAAATAGCCCCAAAGATTTGTCTTCAATGAATGTCTATTTTCGTATTTTGCGATTGCTGTTTGTGTCAGTAGTGTAGTATGAGTGATTAAATACTCACATTATCAAATTGATGCTGTTTGAATGGGTGTTTCACTGTTTGACGGAACTACTTAGATAATACATGACCCTGTGACCTCTCATTTTATTGTTTGAAGCGGTAGTAGAATCTGTGATCTACGCAGTATTTCCCAGCAATGCCCAACTGCCTGCCTGGCATCAAGTCGCGTCAAACCCGCTTCGCATGCGTTCAGTTGAATCTGGCATACTATCTTTATTTCATGCCTAATAAAGTTAACCTATCTATTTACTCGATTTCTCACTCAACCAGCAACACACTATTGCTGTGAGCATTTATTTGCAATATTGTTTTGAGCCGCAATTAACCCAATTCTGCCAAACAGATTCATTAGGTTCAACCTGAGTTAACCAGTAATAATAAAGGATAACTTAAGGCAGTAGCAAAAAAAACCAACAACCAATAAATTGCAACCATACATATAATACCCGTTGTACCCATGTGGGGAATCGTACCCGGGTCTTCGGCGTGATGGGCCAACGCTTTCACTGCTAGTCTGCCCCACCGCCGCTCCGACCAATAAATGACGTCACATGAGCATGCTGACGTCACATGAGCATGCTGACTAGAGCACTGCACTTCACTACAGTGGCAGAGGTGTGGTAGGCTTTACTCAACTTACATTAACACAAGTACAAGTACAAGGAAATACAAGTAAATACTTAACATGTACTAACATTGGTCAACTGACCTGACCTTTGTGTTTTCCCTTGGTCATCAAGTTCACCTAGGTCGTCAAGGGTTTTAAAATCGAACGGGAGCAGTAAGGGTTACAATGAACATACGAAACATTGAAATATGAAAATTTGAAGATATAGTCCATATTTTCACATTTACACCAATATTATACTTTGTAGTTAGTGAGATAATGTGTATAAAACTCTCACCCGCATGGGTAAACAGACTTCCATCTGACGACAGCCACAGCTGATACACGAGGACAAACGCAACCATTACATAATAACGGTGAGTGATCGCCGAACACGTAACGAGGCACGAGCTGCAGGTATTTTAACCTGGTCGCAGGTGTGTTCGGATCACACTTACACCATTTCTTCAACACTTAATCGCTGACTTTGTGTTTCTCAAAATATACATAAGGATCAACAATTCGATATACTACAGGTCTGCGGCCATACAATATTTTGAGTCTAACGAAGAAGGCGGCCGGAATGTGTTTATTGTACGCAATAGGTCAGACGGAAGTGTATTGTTTGTAAACAGGAAGCACATATATTTAGTAGTATGATTGTATGATTAGTGCGTACAAACCGAGGGAGGGGCGGGGGGTTTGCTGATTTAAAAAGATTCATGTTTATTTATTTATTTATTTATTTATTTATTTATTTATGTCAAGCCAATTTCTTGCCGTTTCATGGTATATCTATTTCTAGTGTGTTTGTGTGTTTGTTGTTTACCGCTGCAGCGCAGCCAGCAATATTCCAACTATGTGACGTCGTTCCATAAATAAATAAATAAATAAATAAATAAATAAATAAATCAGCAGCAGCAGCACCAGCAGCACCAGCAGCAGCACCAGCAGCAGCAGCACCAGCAGCAGCAGCAGCAGCAGCAGCAGCAGCAGCAGCAGCAGCAGCAGCAGCAGCAGCAGAAACGATGACATGCATCCAGGTCAGCCGGTGCCGCCAGTCGCCTCTTACGACAAGCATCGTCGGGCTGCTGAAGCCCAAGTCTAACCCGGATCTTCATAGGTCACAGTGGACAGAGTTCGATAACCTCGCCGCGTCATACACACATGAAAGTCGTTCAAATTGTGGTACTTGTTGTTACTTGTGAGGTGATAAAACAAGTGGTGGTCAGCTCATGAATTTCATCAACAACAATGATCTATGTTTTGTTTGTTTGTTTGTTTGTTTGTTGGTTGGTTGGTTGGTTGGTTGGTTGGTTGGTTGGTTGGTTGGTTGGTTGGTTGGTTGGTTGGTTGGTTGTTAAACGATGCACATTCCAGCTAAATGACGGCGATCTGTTTATATCGAGGCTGGACCAGACAATCCAGCATGAACCACGTCAGTGAGCCTGACCACCCGACAATGACCTATGTCTTACAATATTTAGTGTTATTCGTTTTCATTGATAGATTTTTAACATTACCGCAAGTGACTACATTATACTCTGCCAAAAAGAGACGCAAACGTTAATATGAATATAATTTATATATTGTCGTAACTGCTTTCGGGCGTCCAGTGCGACCCTAATACAGTTACTAAGTGTATTGCCGTTCCTGGTCCTTGTGGTCAATTACGCCCTGACATTGCCACTCGCCTTGTCCGCCGCGGCTCGGCTCCGTCAACGAGTGATTGGTCTAACGACGCTTACTTCAAGTTGTCTCTATCAGCATTCACACACGCATAGTAAAGAAACACAACACCAGTTTATACTCACATAGTTTTACTTACTCTCAGCCCATCTATCAATACACGACGGGATCAGACCGGCCAGACTCGTCACTAACTGGGGGAAACTTAGAACGATCGGGATTCGACTCGATCGATTGCAAACCGCGCTCTCTTCTCCTTATGGTGAAGGTATCATTTTATAGTGTTCGAGCCTGGCCTGTCCTTGTCACATGTCACAATACCTCATTTTGATTCGTTAAAAGTTAGATCTGACCATAAACTAATGTGTGTCGTAATAGGAAAAATACAGGAGCCCACGTGCCATATTGCTCATCTCTGTTGATTTTGTGACACGCATCCGGAAGCTCCAAATGAAATATACCTTGAAACTCTCTATTTGTTTCATTAACTAATGGACGATAGCCAGAAACCAATCCAATGATAATTATGAAATGTCCAGAATACACTTGTGATAAATGTGAAATGTCTTATATCTATTGATTCCTTTCAAACTAAAAGTTCTGTCACAAACTATATCTAATACAACTCATTGCAGCTATAATGGTTTTATTTGTTATCATTTTCTTATGTTTTTGAGGTGCATTTTTAACCTTATAACAATATCATATAAATAATCAACAGACGATAATCGATTGTTCAAAATTAGCACACATTTGTTTCATTGATCCAGGTTCCATATGGCACACATGGGGCAGTAGATTTTCAAGGGGAAGGTCATCTGTTCTCAATATCTTGTATGGCCGAAACTGACCGGCATTGTCGTCCCATGAGCTCAGATCCCGAAGTGTAGCCTCCACTCGGTCTGCAGTGCTTGTGCCAACTGTCGGAGGTTCTGTGTTGCTTACGTTGATACAGTGCAACCCATAAATGTCTCAACCCATAAATGTCTCGATTCAGTTTCAAGCTGGAGACCCCGGAGGACCATGGCAGGGCTTGAATGTTGTGATTCCTGAATTCCTGCTAATCCCATGTGGTGTCTTGGTGGAGAATGACGTTCGCTTGTTGCATAATCGGAAAGACGTGTGACCAAAGACGCTCATCTGTCTAACGTTGTGCCGTTTGATTCCCCGGCAAATGAAAACCCAACGTTGTATAGCTCAACAAGTGATGTTGCACGTGCATGTCATCTTGGTGCGTTTCGGCACAAGGTTGTGTATTTGCGATTTTTTCATATTTTCAACAAATTTCTGCAATACTGTATTAAAGTCAAGCAGCAATAATTTGCACATTAAAAGTAACACCATAAATATATATGTATATTTCCTTTGTTTAAACCATATCTACCACAAAGTCCATGTGTTGTATGCATATGCCATGAAGCCTGCATTGTGCCGCCCTGTTTTGGCAGAGAAAACAGACGGTCACTTTGGTGCAAGGCCTTGGCCGCAATGCCGTGACGTCATCGACAGTGTGACGTCACTGTCATTGTATAATTGGCGCCACGTCAGCTGTGCGAACATCGGCTCAGTCTGAGGTCACAGAGTGCAGCGAGATGTAAACAAACAGTTTGTTGTGTGTTTCACGACTAATTATAAACTAATGAAACACAATTTACACAGATTAATTATATCATGAGATGCAGTGTTCACATAATAATCACACATCATCAATATTTACACTCTGTTAACAATTTTCTTACCTGATCATGCGAAGTTCCAAACACAACAAATGACATAATATCTCACACTATTTTTATCAAGTTTTATTTCTCCTCAAACACAAGAAACATTCTCACCTAATCTGGGAATATATAACACGACGACGTGAACGGCACACCACGTTGCTGTCTGTAACAACATGTCCCCCTCCACCGTCTACACAAACACGACACTGACGTCACTGAGCGCCGCGGGACACGAGCAGTTCCACCAATGGCTGACGTTCCCCTCGTCTCGCCACGTCTGCCGCTGTCCGCCCCGAGTTGTTCCTGGCGTCGATGTCCACCACGTTCAGAGACAGCACGTACTTCACCGTCTCCACATCTCCTCCCATACAGGCCCAGTGAAGGGTGTTGTTACCGTACTCGCCCACCAGTGACACATCAGCCCCTTCACTCACCAGGAGCTCCACCACGTCTCTGTGTCCCCTCCATGCTGCCTCCATCACCAGTGTCCTGCTCCACCTTCCTCTACTTTTGACGTCGACTCCCGGTGTAGACAGGAGCCGCTTCACCTCCTCCAGGTCCCCGGCCTTGCTGGCGTAGTAGAGGTCGCGGTCTGCTTGTGATGGAGTCACTGTAACACAAAGTAAACTCTGTACACATCCAGACATCTTTGTCATACATCTACTGTGTTCACACCTCGAAGTGGTGACACGTGACAGGAACATCGATACATGATGAACCACTTCCTGTATGGATGACAACAATATGACGATGAGGGGAGTGGTTTATGTATTGAACTGAGAATAATCTATTCACGTGACATCTGTTCAAGTGCTTTCTTCTACATCCAGTAGTTGTAACACTATTCTGTGTATGGCTGGGGAGTGTAACTGAGCATTATAAGAAGATAGTCAGTCATTGCATTTGCTGTTTGAAATTATTAAAGTAATATGATATGTATTTTTACATTGCTTTACATAAGCTTGTTCATTGAATACACTGTATGTATGAAGGGTTAGGAGTGAGCTTTCTGCCTGCTGGGTTCTCCCACCTACCGTGTGAAGCAGTGGAGAGCAATGGATCCTCCTCGCTCTGACTGTCATCCTGGCTCAGGTCACTCGAGGCTGAAACACAGAATTTGTTGTTTAGAAAACTATATATAGCACATAAGCATTATTGATATTGGCCACAGACCAGTTATTGCCATTCCACCAGTTTGAGGCCCTGATTTAAAATACGTTTAGTATAGCAGAAGTATGAATATAGTAGTTTAGTGATTGTCAAATAAATTGAATGACTCTCATAAAAATACAACACAACTACAGATTGTTGTTACGAGTCTATACACCTGCTGGCTGATTGACCTTTATGAGTCCTATCAGTGCAGTTGTTGACAGGTTTGAAATTGATAGACTAATAGGAGAATACATGTATCAACTTGTAGAGACTATTTATAGGACATTTGAGGAGTAGAATCTGGCTGATATGACATGATGATCTGACCAAATGTCATACAAAGTTGGACAATGACACTCTCTACCACATGCTGGGTTCTCTCACCTACCTCGTCGATCAGAATCTTGTGTCGTCACCGGTGGCACCTGACTCGGATCACTCGAAGCTGAAACAGAATATGGTTGTGAGAAAACAATATAGATCTATAGCATATAATAAGCATTATAAAAACTGGCCTCAGACACTTATTGCCATTCGACAAATATTTCGCCTCTTAAAACGTTCACTCATGAATACGATTTAAACACGTTTGAAGAAGAGATATAAATATCAGGTAGATTCTAGTTCAGTGATTGGTAAATCGCTATAAATGACACAAATATGGACCTGCAGCAAATGTCAGTGAACATTCCTCACAACCAAACACCAGCCTCACTACCAAACACCAGCCTCACAACCAAACACCAGCCTCACAACCAAACACCAGCCTCACTACCAAACACCTGCCTCACAACCAAACACCAGCCTCACTACCAAACACCAGCCTCACTACCAAACACCCGCCTCACTACCAAACACCAGCCTCACTACCAAACACCTGCCTCACTACCAAACACCCACCTCACTACCAAACACCAGCCTCAATACCAAACACCAGCCTCACTACCAAACACCTGCCTCACTACCAAACACCCGCCTCACTACCAAACACCTGCCTCACTACCAAACACCCGCCTCACTACCAAACACCTGCCTCACTACCAAACACCTGTCTCACTACCAAACATCTGCCTCACTACCAAACACCGGCCTTACTGCCATACACCTGCCTCACTACCAAACAGTGTTAGTGTTAATGTCTGTTGCGTGTGTTACTGCAGTGGAGACATAGGTGTGCCTGTCATTGTGTTAAAGTCTGTTGTCTGTGTTACTGCAGTGTAGACAAAGGGGTGCCTGCCTTGGTGTTAAAGCAAGTTGTCTGTGTTGCTGCAGTGGAGACACAGGGGTGCCTGTCTTGGTGTTATAGCCTGTTGTCTGTGTTACTGCAGTGGAGACATAGGGGTGCCTGTCTTGGTGTAAATGTTTGTTGTCTGTGTTACTGCAGTGGAGACATAGGGGTGCCTGTCTTGGCGTTAAAGTCTGTTGTCTGTGTTACTGCAGTGGAGACACAGGGGTGCCTGTCTTGGTGTTATAGTCTGTTGTCTGTGTTACAGCAGTGGAGACATAGGGGTGCCTGTCTTGGTGTTAATGTTTGTTGTCTGTGTTACTGCAGTGGAGACAGGGGTGCCTGTCTTGGTGTTTAAGCCTGTTGTCTGTGTTACTGCAGTAGATACATGGTGGTGCCTGTCTTGGTGTTATAGTCTTATGTCTGTGTTACTGCAGTGGAGACATAGGGGTGCATGTCTTGGTTTTAAAGCATGTTGTTTGTGTTACTGCAGTGGATATATGGGGGTGCATGTCTTGGTGTTTAAGCCTGCTGTTTGTGTTACTGCAGTGGAGACATAGGGGTGCCTACCTTGGTTTTATAGTCTGTTGTCTGTGTTACTGCAGTGGAGACATAGGATGCCTGTCTTGGTGTTAAAGCCTGGTGTCTGTGTTACTGCAGTGGAGACATAGGGGTGCCTGTCTTGGTGTAAATGTTTGTTGTCTGTGTTACTGCAGTGGAGACATAGGGGTGCCTGTCTTGGCGTTAAAGTCTGTTGTCTGTGTTACTGCAGTGGAGACACAGGGGTGCCTGTCTTGGTGTTATAGTCTGTTGTCTGTGTTACAGCAGTGGAGACATAGGGGTGCCTGTCTTGGTGTTAATGTTTGTTGTCTGTGTTACTGCAGTGGAGACATAGGGGTGCATGTCTTGGTGTTAAAGCCTGTTGTCTGTGTTACTGCAGTAGATACATGGTGGTGCCTGTCTTGGTGTTATAGTCTTATGTCTGTGTTACTGCAGTGGAGACATAGGGGTGCATGTCTTGGTTTTAAAGCATGTTGTTTGTGTTACTGCAGTGGATATATGGGGGTGCATGTCTTGGTGTTTAAGCCTGCTGTTTGTGTTACTGCAGTGGAGACATAGGGGTGCCTACCTTGGTGTTATAGTCTGTTGTCTGTGTTACAGCAGTGGAGACATAGGGGTGCCTGTCTTGGTGTTAATGTTTGTTGTCTGTGTTACTGCAGTGGAGACAGGGGTGCCTGTCTTGGTGTTTAAGCCTGTTGTCTGTGTTACTGCAGTAGATACATGGTGGTGCCTGTCTTGGTGTTATAGTCTTATGTCTGTGTTACTGCAGTGGAGACATAGGGGTGCATGTCTTGGTTTTAAAGCATGTTGTTTGTGTTACTGCAGTGGATATATGGGGGTGCATGTCTTGGTGTTTAAGCCTGCTGTTTGTGTTACTGCAGTGGAGACATAGGGGTGCCTACCTTGGTTTTATAGTCTGTTGTCTGTGTTACTGCAGTGGAGACATAGGGGTGCATGTCTTGGTGTTTAAGCCTGTTGTTTGGGTTACTGCAGTGGAGACATAGGGGTGCCTGCCTTGGTGTTAATGTCTGTTGTCTGTGTTACTGCAGTGGAGACATAGGATGCCTGTCTTGGTGTTAAAGCCTGGTGTCTGTGTTACTGCAGTGGAGACATAGGGGTGCCTACCTTGGTTTTAAAGCCTGTTGTCTGTGTTACTGCAGTGGAGACATAGGGGTGCATGTCTTGGTGTTTAAGCCTGTTGTTTGGGTTACTGCAGTGGAGACATAGGGGTGCCTGCCTTGGCGTTAAAGTCTGTTGTCTGTGTTACTGCAGTGGAGACACAGGGGTGCCTGTCTTGGTGTTATAGTCTGTTGTCTGTGTTACAGCAGTGGAGACAAAGGGTTGCCTGTCTTGTTGTTAATGTTTGTTGTCTGTGTTACTGCAGTGGAGACAGGGGTGCCTGTCTTGGTGTTTAAGCCTGTTGTCTGTGTTACTGCAGTAGATACATGGTGGTGCCTGTCTTGGTGTTATAGTCTTATGTCTGTGTTACTGCAGTGGAGACATAGGGGTGCATGTCTTGGTTTTAAAGCATGTTGTTTGTGTTACTGCAGTGGATATATGGGAGTGCATGTCTTGGTGTTTAAGCCTGCTGTTTGTGTTACTGCAGTGGAGACATAGGGGTGCCTACCTTGGTTTTATAGTCTGTTGTCTGTGTTACTGCAGTGGAGACATAGGATGCCTGTCTTGGTGTTAAAGCCTGGTGTCTGTGTTACTGCAGTGGAGACATAGGGGTGCCTACCTTGGTTTTAAAGCCTGTTGTCTGTGTTACTGCAGTGGAGACATAGGGGTGCATGTCTTGGTGTTTAAGCCTGTTGTTTGGGTTACTGCAGTGGAGACATAGGGGTGCCTGCCTTGGTGTTAATGTCTGTTGTCTGTGTTACTGCAGTGGAGAAATGGGGGTGCCTGTCTTGGTGTTAATGTCTGTTGTCTGTATTACTGCAGTGGAGACATAGGGGTGCCTGCCTTGATGTTAATGTCTGTTGTCTGTGTTACTGCAGTGGATTAATGGGGGTGCCTGTCTTGGTGTTAATGTCTGTTGTCTGTGTTACTTCAGTGGAGACATAGGGGTGCATGTCTTGGTTTTAAAGCCGGTTGTCTGTGTTCCTGCAGAGAAGACATCGGGGTGTCTGTCTTGGTGTTAAAGTCTGTTGTCTGTGCGGCTACAGTAGACACCTAGGGGTTGCCTGTCATGGCTGTAGAGACCGTGATGTGTGGCTACAGTAGACACCTATGATTTGACATACTGTCATCCGTGTGTTGTTTGGTTGTGTTGTATTTACCTAACTGTCCAAGTGGGTGGCTTGAGAGAATGGTGAATTATGTGGCTGTCAGAGATAGCAGTGTGAATTGTTAAAAAGTATCAACTCAAATAATCTGAGAAAAAGTGAATTCCCTTTGCCAGATTCAGACAAGTAACCTGACATTGCTTTCACATGCTGGTTCTGGCAATAGTGCAGAGGAAGTCGTAAATGTGAAACAAGAACGTCCACATCCCAAACAGTTCACCGATGGTTGGTTGCAATAGAATATGTGCAGATGAAAATATATTGTACTACTTACAAGGCCTTGGATTCCTGAAAAAGAATAAATGAGGAGGTATTTAAAACTGATAAAATTTAAATAAAGTTTTGGCGTATTTATCAATAACAAGTGGGCACATATGGCTCAGTCATCGTATACCCTACAGTTTGTTGTGCAGAATTGCATCCTTTTCGCGTGACAAAGTAGTGTCCCTTGGGCATGGCGAAAACCTAGGATGGTATAATCCCATATCGCCCTGATTATTGGCTAGGTTTGTCAGCACCATAACCAAGTCCGTAGGTGTCACTTACGTGAACATATGTAAATATTACCCCTATTCATGTTAAACATGTAACATAATTATATCTGCATAATGTAATCTTCATTCAAGTGGAGGAAATAAAGAATATCTATCTATCTATCTATCTATCTATCTATCTATCTATCTATCTATCTATCTATCTATCTATCTATCTATCTATCTATCTATCTATCTATCTATCTATCTTCCGGCTTTACTCCCACATCAAGCTGACACGCCGTGATATAACTGAACTACTATAAATGAAACTTACTCACCTACCTTTTCACTACCAACAATCATTTAGAGAAGATAACTTAATACCGCATGTTTTAAAGAACAAGTCGTCATGGAAATTACCTTCTGATAAGCTGTGTAAACCATTCGACAAGCGTTCGTATACATCGAGCACTGAAAATAGATTTAGTTTTGAATACACAGGGTACCTGTTTGACATTTCCTCATATACACCAATTCCTGAGGTTAGCACCCAAGCCACACGTAGTAAACTCACATCTTCCAGCAACAAATTGTCAAAAAGATAAAGATCAGCCGTAGATGTCAAAGAATTCTACAAAAGGCCAAAACGTTACAAACGCTACACAGGTAATACTGAAAAGCTTGTATATGACTCTCAAACTTGTTACTGGGAAAGGATATTTGCAATCTGTTTGGACTTTATTTTCATACAATAACTATACCTTGCTCTGATGTAAAATGTGAATACATACATGCTCAGAATGTTAAGAACAGGTTGCTAATATTGAAACAATAGAGGATATAGATAACGACACCAGGTCGCCATATACATCTTCCCAAGGCAAGTGGGTTAACTGACTATAAAAGTCCAGTTACCACCCTTGCCGAACGAGGCTGGTATTATGGAGTTACAATTTGGCTGGTCTAACGAGTCTATGCATAGTTCAATCAAAATACCGCACCGAAATCGAAATCCGGTTTGTAAAATGTCGTGCAGATTTCTGTCGATTGCAGGATTTGCATTGCATGTGCACCGCCAACTCGTTGTCAACAGAAATTTTCCAAGTCTTTTCATGTTTTCAATCAAGGTGCACCCGTTTTATCACGATATAGATCTTGATTATCAATCAGATCGTTTTGACTGGGCGCCACCATTTTGTTTGAAAGAAATGCAAGTGATACGAGAGGTGGAATCTGATTGGTCCATAGGAAAGGCTTAGAAGGAACATAACTCGTAATAATCACTGGTGCCGCTACGGTCGAGCCCAGGAATTCCAGCCTAGTTCGGCAAGGGTGGAAACTGGACTTTTATAGTTAACTCCCTTTGTCTCGGGTAGATGGTAATATAGGGCTAATACAGTAATAGTGTAGGGCACCAGAGGCCTAAAGGTCACGAAATTTGACCCCTGCTTTAAATATTACCACCTGTTAGAAAATATACTACCACTAAGCTGTGAGTCTGGAAACTAGCCTTGGAGGAGTATGACCATTATTAACTAATATTGCAAGACTTGTATTCTATGGATCAGCTGAAATTGTCTCTAGAGAATGCTCTTCTAAAACTGTTGCCAATGATATTGTAAATGACGTGTTTATGTCTTGTACGATCAATATGAATGACCGAAATGTACTTTTTAACACCATATGTGATGTCCTGGAGGTAAACGCTTTTGTTAAGGTCTGGGAGAAAGAGGATGATGTCATTCTTGCGTTTATACTTGGTGGATGTCCAATAGAATGTATTATGGAGCTAGAAAGGGATGTGTGGGCAGAAGTAATAATTAATGGTAGTCGCTTTATAAGGAAATGGGGATACCTGCTTAAAATTTGTATGTTTATGAACATGTGTAAATAAACCCCCTATTCATGTTAAACATGTAACATAATTATATCTGTGTGCTGTAATCTTCATAAAGAAATACAGAATATCTATTTTTCAGCTTTCCTCCCACATCAAGCTGACACGTCGTGATATAACTTAACTACTGCTGAATGCAGCGTTACATCAAACTTACTCACCCACCTCTTCACTAACACTACCAACAATCTTTTAGAAAAGATACTACCGCATGTTTTATAGAACAAGTCTTCGTGAGAATTACCTTCTGATAAGCCGTGTAAACCATTTGTCAAACCTTCTTCTACATCGAGCACTGCAAAAAGATTTAGTTATTAATACACAGTGTACCTGCTTGACATTTCCTCGTATATACCAACCCCTTTGGGTTACCCCACACAAATACGTATTCACATTTGCCAGTAAAACCATATCATGTGTTGAATGAAAACTGTCATCAATGAACGACCGGATACAATTGCCATCACTGATGGCAACATGTTAAATATAGAATAATATTTGTGTATTCGTAAACCTGAAATCGTGTGATTATATTATATACTATGGAATACTGTAAGGGACATTCTCGCGATCTCGCATTCTCGCGATCTCGACCTTAGGAAACGAGGTAAATATGCCCAAAACACGGTAATGCGAGATCGCGAGAACGCGAGATTTGGCCAAAATCACACGTTCTCGCGATCTCGCATTCTCGTGTTTTTGGTACATAGCACTTTTTGTCAAAAGTCGACAACGCGAGAATGCGACATTTGGACTGGATGCAAAATCTCGCAATCTCGCAATCTCGACTTGTCAAATTAGGCCACAAAAACACGAAGTCGCGAGAACGCGAGAATGGGACATTTCATTTTCTCGCGATCTCGCGTTCTCGTGTTCTCGCGTTTTAGACGCTGTCCGTGCGCATGCGTAATATCACAAGGTCAAGGCCCATGCGCACGTTCGTAGTCCTTTGGTCATGCTCCTTTCATGCACTTCATTCTCCAAGTAGCATTTAGCAAACTTATGATCTGAGCTTGAAAATGCTATGTAATTTACATACACAAAGTCTGAGTCATCTCCCGTTGTTACAGTTTCCTATGTACTTTATAATAAAACCCTCAACATGCTCAATATAATTTAACAAAAGAAATTGTGTCTATGAATGTCCAATGATAGTGAAAACATTAATGTGTCCGAAAGCTGGAAACAAAACTATTACCGTCAGTGAGTGAGTAATATTGCTTAAAGCCGCTCCAGCAGTACTACAGTTACAAAAATAATCACAGGCCAGTGAGTTTCTCCATGAGGCAATGTTATACACGGCTAGCATATTCATGAAAGGCAAAATTCGCATAGACAAAATTAATTATCATATTTTCATCCGCTCCAACCTGACTACAAAACATCCCGCTTTACATTATTTTATAGTTAAAATGGATAAAATTATCATTGAACCGCCCGCATGTTATCATAAATGAGCGGGCCACTAGTAAAGAAATAAACGACGAGTGGGAGTACAATAAAACACTGCAGGGAGAATAAACCATGAGGGGCGAGTGTTTTATTGTACAATAAACAACAACCACGAGTCGTTTAATGATTATATGAGATATCAACATTATGTACAGCCTCTTTAAGGATGTTGATAAAATGTACAAGGTTTAAAAATATTTACCCCTATTTAAGGCGGGTATTTCCCGCATATGCTCACACAATTCTCAGATCGATTACACGTACCTTTTCTCCCAAAACCGATTGTCATATTGTAACCGGGGATTGTGAAGGAAAATACAATTTCAAACATAGGCTACGGGTGTGAGTGTTTATTGCCAGAGTAGATAATGACATCCTTTAATGTACAAAAAATAACATTATAAAAACAATACTGCATAGGTTTCATACACATACATATTCACACATTCATTCAGTTCATATAAACATACGTCTATATTCTGTACATGAACATGAACTTAATAATCAATGATATACGAAATCATTATCTTAACCCTATAATCAACAAACAATTCATCAAGGGCGATAACTCGATCCCGACATCACTCATAAGATACAATATAAACCTGGTCCATGTTGTAAAATACACTTAACATTATAAATACAATTACCACTTTCTTGAAACTGCTGTATTTATTCAGTAACTCACCATATATTTGTCATCATACACTATTTACAATTCATATTTCGAGACACGACACACATGTAAATTACCCGTACCCTGTGGGTGACACTGGGATGTTTATCGTCTTCATGCAGCCGCCATTACGATGAAAATGCCTCAACATCTATGGAGAGCAGCCTGACAGTCACTTCCCTCTCACAATTAACGTCGTCACTCACTGCGTTATAATGTTACAAGATCACAATCGAACCATCAGAAATGAGGTCATGATTAATCGTATAATACATCGCTTCGTTCTTCGATGTTCTTAGCGATTAAACGCGTAGTCATCTATAGAGTAAGTGCGAGAGTTGGGTTTAACACTGCTTTTATCAGTATTCCAGTTATATCACAGCGTGTCAGCTTAATATGAGAGGAAAGCCCGAAGTGATGCAGGTCTCAGACGTTTACCTCTTCGATGAAACCCACGAGAACGGGTATAGTGAAACAAGAAACATAATCAGGGCGAACCGGGATTCGAACCCACAATCATAGGTTTCGGGCGTGCCCAACTGACGCAACTCTGCACAGAGAATCGCGGCGCCTTAGACGACTGGGCAACCCTAACGAGTGTTGATATATTTGATGTCAGACCGCCGTCATATAGCTGGAATATTGCTGAGTGCGGCGTCAACAACAAACAAACAAAATCTTTCTGAAAAATACCATTAGGCATCCAAGTTGGTTATTTGACTGTTAGTTTTCAGACAATATTTGTCAAATTCAGTCAGTTCACAGGCAAGAAAGGGAGCGTGTTCTTGACTTTATTATGTTACCAGTCTACATATACACAGTATACACAGTAAAAAAAGTGTTGCACCCCCTATACTTTTTCATGGAGGGGTGTTTTGAAAGGGTGTAAAGATAACCGAATTAATATTATAACCAGGATTTCGTGTATACCAACAAACCAGTGTATTGTCTATACAATGAACTTAAATGGCGTATTCCATGACCTTATGGCATGTAATAATCTCATGCTGAACTTTTACGAAAAATGAACGAACAACGAAGACGCATTAAGTATGGTGACATCTCAATAATTTTTAGTGACCAAATTCATCCAATAGGGTAAGAATGTCATATGGAGATTTGACGAACACAGTAAGTCAATATCGAGAACTTCCACCAAGCACTTGGATCACAGCTTGAAGTCTTCGTCTCATACTCCTCACCAGACGTTGGAATCGCTCCATGGGCAGCTGCTGCCACTCCTCGTGTAATGCTGCTTCCAATTCATGCAAGTTCTGTGGAGGAGGGTCCCGACGATAAATCAGGTGTCCCAAAATGTCCCATACATGTTCCAGAGGATTCAGATCTGGACTCATTGCTGGCCATGGAATCTGCGTCAGAGCATTGTTGTGGATAACCTGGGTCACAGCTCGTGAACGATGTGGTCTGGCATTGTCATCCATGAATATCGGTCTGGTGGCCAGTGGATGATTGTCAAAATGGGGCACCACAACTGGATTCAGCACCTCTTGGATGTAGCGCTCCCCTGTCAAGTTGCCTCGTATGGTCACTAAATCAAGCTTACAATCAAATGAGAAGCATCCCCAGACCATAACAGATCCACCTCCATATGGTACAGTTGGCATGATGTTTCTTGCAGTATAAGCTGTTCCAGGACGCCTCCATACTCTCACTCTGCCATCCACAACATGCAGAAGGAACCTGCTTTCGTCCGACCAGTGGACTCTTCTCCAGGACCTCAAGTTCCAGTTCTGTCTCAGTCTACACCAGGCTAGACGTAGTCGTTTGTGGTTGTCTGTGAGTTTAGGTCGCTTGATAACCCTTCTGGACTTCAACCCTGCAGCTTTAAGACGATTTCTCACGGTCTGGGTACTGAACTGTTGACGAGGAAGCCAAAGACGTTTCAAGGTTGTGCTTGTAGCAAATGGATGACGCCTTACCACCCTCAACAACACTCTGTCATCTCTAACTGTGGTCTTACGTGGTCTGCCAGAGGGTCTGCGATTCCTTACATCATTAGTTTGTGCGTGTTTTCTGACCAAACGGCTTATTGTTGAGTAGTGATGTCCGGTCCTTCTGCCAATCTCCTTGAACGAAAGACCTGCTCCATGAAGGCCAATAATCTGCCACTTGACTGCTTCTGACAAGCGTCTACCCGGCATTGTGGGTTACAATAAACTGGGCTGTCAGAGAACATCTTTTATAGGCGATGTTGAGCTTAAGAAGATACTGCAATCTGCAAATGTCATGCACCATGCAATTCACGTGCTGATTGCTACGTTTTGGTGATCATCTTCCCTCCGAAAACATTACACATTTAACATCAGATCCCCAAGGAACACCTACCATTAAAACCAGAGTCGGGCGTTTTAAATGTTGTGATGTATCAAACGTATTAATGTGGGATGCAACACTTTTTTTACTGTGTATATATTTCTGTATAATCAAAAGACTTGGACAATGTGCATTCTGACATTGTCAAAAGTCACGTGATTTTGAGCAGCCATTATAAAATAAACTGTATTAATTTGCAAAGCAGAAATTTCTATGAACGTTGTGGTTTATTTCGTCGTTTTGACACGAGCGTGAGATTTTATCATCCAACATCATTCTTCCAACTTTTTGAGTTTGTAGACAGTAATAAGCAGTGTCTTAAAGATGTTGGATACAATGGTTCGTGCGCACCTCAGTTCACGCCGTTGCACGCGAGTTTACCGTGACGATTTACCTTACAAAATAGTTACATATAACTGTAAAGGCAATGAGAACAAAAACACGAAAACGCGAGATCGCGAGAATTTACCAATCTCGCAATCTCGCGTTCTCGCGTTCTCGTGTTTTTGAAAATAGTTACATACAACTGTATAGGCTATTAGCACAAAAACACGAGAACGCGAGATCGCAAGATTGCGACACTTGACCAATCTCGCGTTCTCGCGTTCTCGTGTTTTTGAAAATAGTCACATATAACTGTATAGGCATTTAGCACAAAAACACGAGAACGCGAGATGGCGACAATTGACCAATGTCGCAATCTCCATTCTCGCGTTCTCGTGTTTTTGAAAATAGTTACATATAACTGTATAGGCTATTAGCACAAAAACACGAGAACGCGAGATCGCGACAATTGACCAATGTCGCAATCTCGCGTTCTCGCATTCTCGTGTTTTTGAAAATAGTTACATATAAGTGTATAGGCTATTAGCACAAAAACACGAGAACGCGAGATCGCGACACTTGACCAATGTCGCAATCTCGCGTTCTCGCGTTCTCGTGTTTTTGTGCTATTAGCCTATACAGTTATATGTAACTATTTTCAAAAACACGAGGACGCGAGAACGCGAGATTGAGACATTGGTCAATTGTCGCGATCTCGCGTTCTCCTGTTTTTGTGGTAATTGCCTTTACAGTTATATGTAACTATTTTCAAAAACACGAGAACGCGAGAACGCGAGATTGAGACATTGGTCAATTGTCGCGATCTCGCGTTCTCGTGTTTTGGTGGTAATTGCCTATACAGTTATATGTAACTATTTTCAAAAACACGAGAACGCGAGAACGTGAGATTGCGACATTGGTCAATTGTCGCGATCTCGCGTTCTCGTGTTTTTGTGGTAATTGCCTATACAGTTATATGTAACTATTTTCAAAAACACGAGAACGCGAGAACGCGAGAACGCAAGATTGCGACATTGGTCAAGTGTCGCGATCTCGCATTCTCGTGTTTTTGTGGTAATTGCCTATACAGTTATATGTTACTATTTTCAAAAACACGAGAACGCGAGATTGCGACATTGGTCAATTGTCGCGATCTCGCGTTCTCGTGTTTTTGTGGTAATTGCCTATACAGTTATTTGTAACTATTTTCAAAAACACGAGAACGCGAGATCGCGACACTTGACCAATGTCGCAATCTCGCGTTCTCGTGTTTTTGTGCTGATTGCCTATACAGTCATCTTGTGGCTCAGTCGTCTGAATTGTCGCAATTCGTTGTGTAGAGTTGCGTCCCTTGGATGTGCCAGAAACCTACAATGGAAGGTTTCCTCTCATTTTAAAGGGACACTGATCTAGAGAAATGCCCCGAGACTGGTTGTTGCCTTAGTTATTCTATCCAATGCAACAGCAAATGAATGAAAACAAAATGCAAATATCGTAATTACGACCCACCGCAGTTTTATGTATACATTTGGGCAGCTTCCTTGTTCGAGGAATGTATCCGTGAATATTCACATACAGGAACAATATCCCATACGTCTGCAGCTGTACAAATAAACTAATTCGACGTCACATGGCTCTGTTACATTCAAATGTTAAAATATATACATAGAGCGTTTCTGGATATTATAACCCGTGTTCGAAGACGACGCCCCAGCTGGTCCCAGAGATGTTCTGTGGGTGACAGATCTGGTGATCGAGCTAGCCACGGCAGGACAGTCACGTGGTTGGCGTTGAGGAAGTCTCTAGTAATACGGGCTTTATTGGGTGTGGCGTTATCTTGTTGGAACACCGTCCGTTGTTGACGCTGGGTGAAAGGAAGAACCACTGGCCGTAAGATATTGTCAATGTAGCTTTGTGCTGTCAGATTGCCTTCGATGATGACAAGTTCCGTCTTCTCGTCTCCGCAAATGTCGCCCCAGACCATCACACTTCCGCCCCCTAAAGGTTCCACCTCCTGGACACAACAAGGAGCCGTACGTTCACTACGTCGTCGATACACTCGCGTCCGCCCATCAGGTTTGAATAGTTGGAACCTGCTCTCGTCACTAAACAGCACTCGCCGCCATTCCCTTTGTTGCCATCGCTGAGTTGTCTGCACCACGTCAATCTGGCACGTCGATGTTGACGGGTTAAGGTCATGCCCTTGAAAGGGCGATAAGCCCGGAGACCATAATGTCGTAGTCGTCTGGTCACTGTTTGTCTGCTGACTGGATGTCCTAAGCTGTTGGCATCTGATGACGTCCAATAGAAATCTGTTCCTCAGATGACGTACCCGTAAAAAGCGGTCATCCTGCGGGGTCGTGACCTATGGTCTGCCACTCCATGGTCTGTCTGCGGTACTGCCAGTCTGTCGGAGACGTGAGACCAGTCTGGTAATGGTCATCTTGGAGCAGTTCATGTTAATGGCAACCGCTCTCTGTGTCGTTCCCATCTGCAGCATACCTATGGCTCTCTCCTTCTGGACAGCGGTCAGTCTTGGCATGTTCGTTGGTGTTAATCATCGCAACCATTGATAGGGAACAGATCCTTGCGTAATTTATACCCGGAAATTGCACGATAATTTGGGGAAGATTGTTTTAAAAAATTGCTGAAAAACACCAATATTTCCCAAAATCCGTAAAGCACGTGCAAAGAACGACAGAGAACATGAAGGCTGTATTCGTGAAATGTGTTCTTTACTGTTTTTGAACAGGTTGGCATCTTTGTTTCAAAGTGACAAATCAGTTAATGTTGGTAACGTTTCTTTTGGCCCTCAGTTTATAACCATCTGGGGTATTTCCAAATAACAACATCCGATGAGCTTCCATCGTTCTTTTTGTCCGTTTGTTTAGGCTAAAGAAATTAATTAACATGCGCCCTTTGTCTGAGATTCAGAGATTACAGGTAACCAATCAGTGTTCTTGAACACGGTAGTCCAGTCTCTTGTCACGCTCAGTTGCGTCAGTGAGCAAATCGGCAGATGGTGAGCCCCAGCTGGCAGTGTTAGACAGCCGAGAAGAAGATTAGTGCCCCTTTAAACCGACAAGCCGGGATATAACTAAAATATTCACACTGTTCAAAGCTGTGTTAAGCCAAACTCACTCACTTATTCAGAGTCATGCTGGTCCCCCAGGCTGGATATTGGGGGTACTTTTCCAGTATAAGCATGCCTGTCATTTGAATGTTAAGGCCGCAATAAAATTAATAGTTACAGTTTGACTGATTTTTTAAAAACATGGGAGACAGAAGGCATTTTATTTTTAACGTTTTTATTTTGTTCGTATCGACCTACTTTAGGCATATGTGTACAATTGCTGCCGGCGGATGCGATTCGCATGCATCATGTGTGCTCAGTAGGGCTACGTGTACAGAGTATTGTATCAGGTAAAGAAAGTAGGAACACTCATATTAACGATACTTCTATTTCTAGGAATTTGAGGGCATTAGAATAATGTAAGGCAGGATGTTTTGTTGTCAGGCGGGAGCGGATGAAAATCTATTAATTAAAGTAGCGAATATGGTATCGTATACAAAAACAAAAAAAACAACATCGGACAATATCATTTTATCCGAATGCTACAAATTGGTATGTGGGAATTTTATTTTAATGAATATTCTAGCCGTGTATAAAATTGCCTCATTGAGAAACTCACTGTCTTGTGATTATTTCTGTAACTGACAGTGTAGCCGCGAATAACTGCAATACTGCTGATGCGGCTTTAAGCAATATTACTCACTCACTCACTGACGGTAATAGTTTTGTTTCCAGCTTTCGGACACATTTATGTTTTCTCCATCATTGGACATTCATAGACACAATTTCTTTTGTTAAATTATATTGAGCATGTTTAGGGTTTTATTATAAAGTACATAGGAAACTGTAACAACGGGAGATGACTCAGACTTTATGTATGTAAATTACATAGCATTTTCAAGCTCAAGTCATAAGTTTGCTAATTGCTACTTGGAGAATGAAGAGCATGAAAGAAGCATGACCGAAGGACTACTAATGTGCGCATGCGCTTGACCTTATGATATTACGCATGCGCACGGATAGCATCTAAAACGCGAGAACACGAGAACGCCAGATCGCGAGAAAATGAAATGTCGCATTCTCGCGTTCTTGTGATTTCGTGTTTTTGTGGCCTAATTTGACAAGTCGAGATTGCGAGATTGCGAGATTTTGCATCATGTCCAAATGTCGCATTCTCGCGTTGTCGACTTTTGACAAAAAGTGCTATATACCAAAAACACGAGAATGCGAGATCGCGAGAACGCGAGATTTTGGCCAAATCTCGCGTTCTCGCGATCTCGCATTCTCGTGTTTTGGGCATATTTACCTCGTTTCCAAAGGTCGAGATCGCGAGAATGCGAGATCGCGAGAATGTCCCTTACAGTATTCCATAATATACAACATTATATCCAAGGAAAATATGTCAAAGTTACGCTGAACAAACTGAACTGATCATAAAGTAGATGCTGATGTAGTCTGAGGTTAGCACCCGACCCACACAAAGTAAACTCACCTCTTCCAGCAACAAATTGTCGAAAAGATAAAGAATACCAGTAAAATCCACATCAACTGCATACTGGGGTTAATGTGCCCTTCACCTGCAACAAACAAACACAATATGACTAATTAATCAGTCTTATGTGCCCCCCACCTGTAACAAACAAACACAATATGACTAATTAGTCTGCCTGTTGTGCCCCTCACCTGCAACAAACAAACACAATATGACTAATTAATCCGTCTAATGTGCCCCTCTCCTGTAACACACAAACACAATATGACTAATTAGTGTAACAATCCGTCTTATGTGCCCCTCACCTGTAACAAACAAACACAATATGACTAATTAGTGTGTTTAATGTGCCCATCACCTGTAACACACAAACACAATATGATTAATTAGTCAGTTTCATGTGCCCCGAACCTGTAACAAATAAGCACAATATGACTAATTAATCCGTCTTATGTGCCGCTCACCTGCAACAAACAAACACAATATGACTAATTAGTGTGTTTAATGTGCCCATCACCTGTAACACACAAACACAATATGATTAATTAGTCAGTTTCATGTGCCCCGAACCTGTAACAAATAAGCACAATATGACTAATTAATCCGTCTTATGTGCCGCTCACCTGCAACAAACAAACACAATATGACTAATTAGTGTGTTTAATGTGCCCATCACCTGTAACACACAAACACAATATGATTAATTAGTCAGTTTCATGTGCCCCGCACCTGTAACAAACAAGCACAATAAGACTAATTAATCAGTCTTATGTGTCCCTCACCTGTAACAAACAAACACGATATGACTTATTACTGTGTCTAATGTGCCCCTCACCTGTAACAAACAAACACAATATGATTAATTAATCTACCTGTTGTGTCCCTCACCCGTAACACACAAACACAATATGACTAATTAATTTATCATCCAAAACTGGCTCCCACAGGAGATATCGCTTGGATTAGATCCAGTGATATCTACACTGTAGATATCGCTGCTATGAAATTACATCACAATGCTTTGAAGATCATTGTGACGTCACTGGTTACCATGACATCACAATCAAATGATATCACTAATGGCTCTGCTACGGAAGCTGTTAGCAGTAATTTTTACACTGAAGACACTGCTAATTACAGTCTACAAATTGAAAAAGTTGGAAGAATGATGTTGAATGATAAATAAAATCTCACCCGAGTGTCTTTTGATATCAAATATATATACACTCGTTGATAAAAGTGTCAAAAATACTCGGCAAGTCTCGGAATTTTTCCACTTTTATCAACTCTTGTTGATATATTTGATATCAAAAGACACTCGGGTGTGATTCTCTATTTATATGCTCAATATACACCCTCTTAAGTTTATGACTTCTTCTTTGAAAGACTTGCTTCCCTCTGTCATAGTCAAAGTGCTAATAGTCGTTCCTTAAATCAGGCCACTGAAATGCCGATCAGCTTTGATTATATTATACTGTGTACCTTTATCAACCTGGCAATTACATACGTTTATGGTAAAAAAAATAAATTTTCCTTTCACACACATAAGAAATATGAAGTGTTATGACCTTCTTTGTTGATGAAGTCTTGTAAAAACATAAAGAACAGATATCTTTGTTGTATTGTATATACTCACACACTCACTCACACACACACACACACACACACACACACACACACACACACACACACACACACACACACACACACACACACACACACACACGATGATGTACAAATAGTTGACAGTATTACTACTTAGGATAATTAATGACATCTCTTAAGTGCTAAGTAAATATACTAAACAACAAAAGTTCCTGGGACATAAATATTTTAGTGTATTTTTCAAAAAAGTAAAGTTTGGTTTTCAATATTGTAGTACATGTATGGAATCAAGTCACAAAAACGCAACTGCTACAGAAAAGCATGCATTCCATGCAAAAGTTGACTTTTATGCAAGCCCCATGTATTTCACGACCCAAGAATGGGTATAAAACATGTGCATTAACGGGGTTCAATATGCATGGTTTACCATCGTCCTGACAACAACCACTCAGAAAAACAACAAAATTACGCAATTATTCAACATTACGAAATGTCACGCCTGTCCGAAAATGAGCGTCTCTGAGCCATTGGTATGCTTGAAGCAGGATCGAGTCAACGTGATGGTGCAAGACAATTTAACGTCCACAGAAACACCATTTGGTGCTATGGCCACGTTGGCAACAGACGAATGCATTCAGAGACCATCCTCGGAGAGGCAGGCCACGCGTAACCAATAATCGACAAGACAACTGGATGCGAACAACACACCTACGAAATCGATTCCAGCCAGCAACAGTGACTGCAAGAAGCATCCCTGGCCTTCGACGAATATTTTCACAAAACCGTACGTCGCCCTGCAGGGATTGTCGCCAGAAGACCCGCTAGACGTCCCATTTTGACAGGAAACCACCGCCAAGCACGTTTACAGTGCTGCAGACAGCGTCTAAGTTTGACGGCCATGCAGTGGGGACAAGTTCTATTCACTGACGAGTCTCGTTTTCACCTCAGCAACAGCGATCGACGGATTCGAGTGTACCGACGTCGAGTTGAACGTTACGTCAATCATTGTGTCATGGAAGAAGATCGGTACGGGGGCGGCAGCGTTATGGTATGGGTTGGGATTACAGTAAGACAGAGGACCCGTTTGATAGTGGTAGAGGGAAATCTCAACGAGATCATTGGCCCTGTTGTTCTACCGTTTTTGCGTCGCCATGGGCTGGGCACTACCTTTCAACGCCCAGCCTCATTGTGATCGACATGTTCAGGATTCTCTTCAACAAAACAATGTGAATGTCATCCCCTGGCCGGCTCACTCCATTGATCTCTCACCAATCGAGCCTATGTGGGATGAGATGGATCGGCACCTCCGACGTCCATTCCATGAGACGAAGATGTGTTGCTTGCATCGCAACCAGAGGTGGACACACACGCTATTGATTTGTATACTAACATTTTGGCATGTTCATGTTTTTTGGGTTTTTTTTTATGAAATCACGCATTTTCTGAAGTCAGTATGGCAAATAAAACAACTTACAAAGGAGTCTTTTATCTGTTGGAAACCGAAATTGTTTCATATTTGTTAAAAACATTATTTTGCATTAAATCTTATTCAATGTCACAGGAACTTTTGTTGTTAAGTATATATTTCCCTAGACTGTTAAGAAAAGACGGATTTGGGCTGAAGAACAGCATTTTAAGTTTTTGCTGGTTTGGATGGACACAATATTACTTTGGTAAAATACTGTCTCTTACACCTGCATAGAATAGACACTGGACACAAAAATTCTGATTCTACTGTTAAATCTATGCAAAGGTAATAATATACTGTCGACCTATTTCTATCATTAAAGTATGACTAGAGCATCTAGATTTAGCTGAAGTTTTTAGATCGATCATATTGTGAATACATAAATATATAATCTTCCAAACCATAATCTATTTTAACATGTTTGTTAAAGACAAACTTTGAAGAAGCTGTGATATTATCGTTCCATATCTGTAATCAATATCTTTACAGCTTGTAGAAATTAATCAATAAATAAATTAACACAACCAACACTTTGATGAGGCCAAACGTCTCCAAAACCATACTTATTTGACACGTCTTTAACATCATAAGCCGAGCATGTTCCCCCATTTCAGCCTTACTGAACTCGAAGTGGTACACATGCATATGAATAATATTTTATTTTTGGCTCAGCAATCGCACCATTTCATGTTTCAAAATAGAAAAACGTGCCTTCTTCCTTCGCTTTCTCCAAGAAGGGATTGAAGGTTTGTTGGCTACGTCTCACTGCATCTGTATAATCGTCGGAGATGTCTATGTTATGCCTTTTCAGTTTCTTAACTTGGCTCATGATAGTGGCTTTCTGTTTTGGAGTCCTGAACGTAGCTAGAATGTGCCTTGGTCCACTTGATTTCGCTGGCAGCCGACTCACTCTGTCAAATATTGTTTCTTCCTGTATTTCCATCTTATCAACAATCATACCAAGCAGTTTATTTGCTGTCTCTTCTGTTAACTCTCTAAATGTCTCCTCGGCGTTATAAACAATTACGATGTTCTTTCTCTGCTTGCTATCCAGCATTTCCACTTTACGAGTTAAGTTAGTAAGTTGGTCCCGAAAGTCACCATTTTCATCAGAATTTTTTTTTACCTCTTTCTCTACTTGAGTTTTCATAGCGCTCATTTCCTCGAAATTAGTTGGCATGTCCCTCCTCATGCCTTGTATTTCAGCCATTTCTTCTTACAAGCTAGGTTCACGTGAGCTCTCTAATGTAGCTCGTCTTGTAGTTCGTCCTGAGCCGGTTGCTCTCAGCATCACTGGTCAATATAATAAGCAATGAGACGCACACTTAGAGTGTTGTTCTCAGTGCCAGGCTTGAGCCTCGCGGCATGTGCAACATGGCGACACGCATAACTGACCGTCGTCTTCCTCTGCCACTCATAAATGCTGAGACGTTGCCTGGTAGCATACGTCTCCAAATCGCAGTCCGTGTCCGTGTGACTTGCAAGGTTTTGTTGGTTGTTTTAACAGCTCAAATCAGTAATTTCGACAGAGCTTGTTCATATAATGTTATCACCCTCTAACAATGTGGCTTTCAGTGCCTTACAATCAACAGATGAAGTATTCGACACATACTGTTAATTGCTACGTTAAAATTCCAATGTTTTCTAGTCCAACTGAACAAGTAGTATTTTATTCATCTAATTTATTGTTATGACAGTTTCGTTTTATGATTATGCCATTAGTGTTACAAAAACACCTCACCTGTTCATACGTATGAAGTAACATTTCTCATTCAAAGGGAGTTGACATATTGTATTTAGGGTGTCACTATTGAAGCGCGTTTTAGTGAGGAGTTCACATATTACATCCCGTAAAAATTAATTAAATGGATTAATTATGCATTGGCGTGTAACCAAAAAAAAATATGGTTCGATTTATGTCAAAACATGATGTACATTTACACATGAAATCCAAATAGTCGTATGAACCAACTAGGAGCTGCCAATCTGCTGTATGCCATTTTCTTAACATCTATACTATGTTCTGACTCAACTCTTATCAGGATCTGTTTATAAAACTGACTCCAGTACCTGTTGTCTGTATCTGTGATCCTGTTGTTCTGTTACAGAATTGCCCAATGTATCCATGTATGCACCCGAGGGTACATCCCCCGTTGGGTTGGTTGCGCTTGGTGCTGATGCAGTTCAGGCTACAAATTTGATCACACTGGTCACCATGCCGACCACGAACACAACCTTCTGAACACTTCCCAGTGTCTTTGTGACAGGGTCGAAGGTTTCTCCCTAGGTGAAGTCCACAGTGCACTGAACATAGTCGGTCACAGTTGTGTCCATACTTGCCCCACTCGCACACCGTGACACCCTGTACTGCAGAAACTGAAAGAAGAAGTTCATTTGAAGTTAATGTGAACAATGGTTGGATTTAACTTTCAAGAGAGAAGATTTACTTCTCTTTAATGAACTTCTGTGTTTTAAACTAAAAAATGTAATCACATGGAAAAGGAATCTAATAACTGTGCATATTTCTCATGTAGAAAGTCCTGCAAAAGTCTAAATGAAAACAACTTAAAGAAATGTCATCTATTAACCATTACTTGTTAGTTCGTCCCAAATGAAGACAGAATTGAAAATTTAAGGATAAATTGTATATTTATATTCTTATCGTATCTCATAATTTGCATGTGTTTCTTCTTCTCCGATCTTGTGTGGAAACGTGATTGAACCATGTTTCCAGCTTCTGAAATAAAAACATTCAGCCGATGCAGTGATGGCCTTTGCTAACCGCTGGGGGAAACCTTTTTGCGATGAGAGATTTCTGGAGATGACCCAAACGCAGAGATGTAGCGTTGGAATGGATGGATGGAACCACAGAGAGTGACGTTGAAGGAGTAGGTCGTCGCAGAGCGGAAGATGGTGAAGTGTGCTGAGGGAAGTGTGCAGAGACATTTGATAACGTTTTTGCTAGTGACGTACCAACAGCGTCAATCCACGTTGGTAATTAACTGGCCGGATACGTTCTCTGTAGAGGTCGGAACATCATAGTCGGTGGTGCGTTCAGCGGTAGTCAATAACCTTGTTGCACTAGCTGTGTCACAAAGGCGTCTGCAGCAATAGTCCAATTGCTTACAAAGCCCCAGTATTCCGCCTACGGGCGTTGCTGTAATGGGAACGGATGGAGGCGGAAGTTCCCAGTCGCGCTGTTTTGAAAAGGATTCAGTTTCCTGCTAAACCTCCACCTCTGGAAGGTTCACCGGAGCCCTTGGGTCTGGTAAAGGTGATGGATCAACCAGAGAAGGGTCTCGAGCGCTGTTGTCCTCTTCTGTGCCCACAAAAGGGATTAGGCCAGGATGAGAGAAGTTCACAAGGATCGTGCTGGGCAGGAACATATTGGGGATAGTTCCGATCTTTCTTTTCCTGATCTTTTAATTGGAGCCAGAATGGTGATAGAGGAGGTCCAGGATCTGCGTGAGTTTATAAGGAGTATCATTGGGAATGAGTGGAGAGACAGACCGAGAGCGCGTCAAAATCATAGCTGACAAAACTGTAGACGCTAGAGGGAGTGTACGGTGAACTGTGGTATCCAAGTATGTTAGGACCTGATCTTCAACCACATAAGGTGATGTCGAGTCCTGAGACAGAAGATATGTTGCTATCAATATCTGGGGAGGTTATCGTAGCAGACATGTATCTTCAAGAACAAAGCGGGTAGTGGGACGGGGCGTGATATTGGATGGGCTAGCCAAAGGAATTGCGAACACAGTGAACAAATCCGCAGCCGAAGCCGTACACTGTACCTGTAATTTGTCAGCGATCCAATGAAGGACTGAATCAGGGTCTGCTGGTTCAAAGCTATGGAGGGAGGCCACGAGTTATGGTCAGAAACACCTGGTGGGCGTCGGCTGTCAGTTGGTTGAACCTGTAGACTAGGGTCACGTGAAGCAGACGCCGAACCGCGCGATCCTGGAGGGATTGAGTGGGAGGCAACCAGAACCAGATATGCATCTGTAGTCTGAGAAGTCAACGGAGGACCTGAACGTTGTAGTAAGACAGTAGATATGGCTTTCATGAGGGAGTCAAACGATTGTTCACTTTTTTGCAGGTCCTGGTTATCCCAATTCGTATGCAGGATAGGTGAACAGGAGTGGAGGGAATACAATCTGTCCATCTGTGAACGGAACGAGATGGGTTCGGGAATTGCTCCGACGTTTGCATTCTCAATGTGTTAACAGAACGACGATCCTTAGATTTAGGAGGTCAGGCTTGTCCTCACACAAGAGACATTCAATAGAAAGTTGGTGGAGAGGAGAATAAGGTAGCCGGTAGGAGAGCAGGAAGTAGTCAGGAACCCTTGGATAAGGGTATCTGGATGGCTTGTATTAAGCATGACGATTGTGGCGCAGGCTTCGGGTTCAGTCAGAGAGCGAGAGTGGTGATCCGATCGAGAGTGCCAATCCTTGGAGCAAGAACTCCGATCCTGCGAGCGGGAACGTCGACCCTGGGAATGAGAACGCGGATCTTAAGAGAGGGAGCGTCAATCCTTCTTCTTAGAAGACAATTGTTGATCCAAATCGTGACGATCAGGAGGGTCCCGGGTGTAGAAGTAGGGACGGCCTTATCATGATCAGCCGGAGGAGTGGAACTAACCGAATCCAAGTGCAGTAGTTTGAATGGAGCAGAACGTGATCAGTATCAGTCAGTTATACCGAGCGGACATCGACATGAGTTGGAGTGTTCAACATTTCGGGATTCTACAAATCATCTGTGAGAAAACTGTACAAGATCATCTGTGACAGAAAGTAAGGTTCCTCAGATGGAAGTGAAGAGCTGGCCTTAGATTTCTTAGATGAATCTCCTGCCTTAGAACAACGATCGAAGTCAAAACATGTCACCACACAGTAGTGATGAGAAAGAGAATGAATTGAGATGCAGGGGTGTTCGGGTGAATGTTTTTATTTCATAAACTGGAAACATGGTTCAAGCACGTTTCCTTATAAGATCGAAGAAGAAGGGAGAAATGCAAAGTGTGATATATGATAAGTTTAAAAATTAATAATCTCAAACACAGGAAAAAGATAATCTTTTTCCCAGTTATTTAAAGAAATAACATTCATATGACAATAAGAATGGTAACTTGAAAATACGGGATGTATTTAGACGTACATACTTTAACCATTAAGCTATACCATGGATGCATTGTGAATGTTTACATGTTGTACTCTTGAATGCAGGGTTTTGTGCAGTGAAACCTTTATTGTGTTGATGGCCTTTACAGAGTTGATTATGGAAGAATAATTTTGTGACATCTGCGGTATATTACGATTAAGTTATGAAAGCCTGTTGTGCTTTTTTAAAACATGATTTTTAAATGTATACATGTCATTTAGGGATTGTTTGCGATGGAGAAATGATAATGCGGTTCAATAAGTCTTTTAGCTATGTCAGGAATGTAAGCATACTGGTTTACCAAATTAGTCTGAGATATAAAACTTGAGAGATAAACTCATACAAAAATACTGATATCAGAATCTGTGTTTAGAACAGTATCAGCGTACCTGTTGTTTGTATCTGTGATCCTGTTGATATTTTACAGAAATATCCACTGTATCCATCTATACATCCAATGGTACATCCCCCGTTGAGTTGAATGCACGAGTTGTTCATGCAGTTCGGGCTACAAAGTTTATCACAGTGGTCACCATGTCGACCGCGAACACACCCTTCTGAACACTTCCCAGTATCTTTTTGACAGTGTCGAAGGTTTCTGCCAGGATGAAGTCTACACTGATCTGAACATACTTGGTCGCAGTTGTGCCCATACTTGCCCCACTCGCACACTGGGACATCAGGTACTGCAGGAACTGAAAACAAACATTCATAATGTGGACACTATTTGGATCAAGTTTTCAAGAGAGAAGAGTTACTTCCCTTGAATGAGTTTTGTGTTTTAAACGCATAAATATAATAACACGTATCTGTGCGACCAACAGTGAAAAGGAATCGAAAAGTGAGCATTTTTCTCGTGCAGAAAGTGCTGCAAAAGTCTCAATGAAAACAGTTAAATGAAAGTGATCTACTAACCATCACTTGAAAGTTCATCCCAACTGAAGACAGAATAATAATCTCATTTTCAGAAAAAAAAGATATAAAAGGTATGATAAAAATACTGATATCAGAATCTGTGTATCGAACTGTATCTGTGAACTGTTGTCTGTATTTGCGTACCTGTTGATATGTTACAGAAATATCCACTGTATCCTTCCATACACCCGATGGTGCATTCCCCGTTGAGTTGAATGCACGAGTTTTTTATACAGTTCGGGCTACAAAGTTGATCACAGTGGTCACCATGCCGACCACGAACACACCCTTCTGAACACTTCCCAGTATCTTTTTGACAGTGTCGAAGGTTTCTGACACGATGAAGTCTACACTGATCTGAACATAGTCGGTCACAGTTGTGTCCATACTTGCCCCACTCGCACACCGGGACACCCTGTACTGCAGAAACTGAAAACAGAAGTTAAATGCGATACATATCTACCTGATTGCCGACGTGTTTGAAGCTTGCGTGACTGGGCTAGTGAGAATATATGTCAGTAGTCAATAGATCGGGGTCATGAAGGCCCCAACCACGTAAGGAGGTACCAAACATCGAAGACCTGCTTCACGTAGGAATATCCTCCCACATTAAGTTGACATGTCGTTACAACAGTGTTGAGCCAAAGTCACTCATAGAAAGATCACATGAGTATGAGTATGGACTTTGGTTACTGATGGCAGCCCTACCTCAGTCTAGTTAAACATAACAAGGTAACAATACAAACACAGTCTGGATGGGTTCTCGTGTGGATTCATGTATGGAGACAAGGTTGAATTGTGGATTTAGACGTCTCTCCTCTTTCATTAATGTATCAGTTGTAGGATCTTGTGCGACCAGTTAGCTCTCATTTTGAGTGTACATACGTGTATGAAGACAGGGTTGAATAATGGATTTCATCTTCTGTCAATCATCATTCAAGTATCAGCTAAGCGACCTTGTTCTACCGAGCTATTGCTGTGGGTTAACAAATATACTTGCATCTGTATCGAAACTTTGCTTTGATAGAATAAACAAGTTGAAAGCCAAAAGTCACCTTTTGCCATGTCATTTAAAGAAGTATATACATTTAGTTAACTGAAAAGGGTATAGCAAAACATAGCAATTAATGTTGTGGTACCCTGGGCACTTACGCAATATGATCAGCAACGACGATCCAAGCATTTCAGCATGTAGACAATAACTCCTGAAAGAAAAACAAAGAAATACAACTACACGTTGGCATCAAATTGTTAAGATTACACTGTTACAAGTTATATTTTGCTAATACAATTCTTATAAATAGATCTCAAAACATAAGTACAAAGAGACCCGTTGAGATCCGTGTTTGAATTCATCTTCAGCAACCCCTTGCTTGTTGATACTCATGATCACAGGATTGTCTGGCATAGACTCGATTATTTACACACCACCATCATGTAGATGGAATACGGCTGAATGAAACAACAAACAAACATAAATAGAAAGGAGAATGTTGTTTCCATTCAAGGGGTTTTCAAGTAATATCCCGACGTGCCATGCATAGGCTTCACACAACTTCCTACATTCAAGTTCACAAAATGGCCGACGTGAGTCCCATTGTTTTCCTCATTGCCTGGCCTAAAAAAATCAGGCCAGCGATAGCGCGACAAACCCTGAATAGTTCATTCCTTCAAGTCCCCCACGTTGGTATATTAATCCGCACTGTCTTATGTCAACGTGGATCTGCGGTGATGTTGGCATGCTGCATTTCGCTTTCCGTAGTAAGTGGTTTTGTAACTACGAATAAGTGGGCGTCGGCTTACCCCAAGCTGGCACTGTGCCGAGCTAGTGTCCCTACAACATAATCACCAGCAATCAATCAGCACTCTACAGCACGACTGTAATCTCCACTGGAAGGTAACGCGGATTTTGTCGAGTGTGCACTGAAGTAGGGCAGGGCTACACCTGTATCATGTCATGTCAGTGTTATCGTATAGGTTCTGAAGCTTATCAGTTGAATTGACTGAAGGCGGTCGAGGCTATATACTAAAAGACACACAGGTGGTGCAGACTTCGTCTTGGTTGTCGCTCAGTTGCATCGAGGAACAGGTCCCTACTCAGAAGTCGAGTCACCGGTTCAAGCGTCAAATGTTGTCCACAGAGGCGTGTTTACCCCTGACATGCACACTGTACAGAGGGCAGATCTACACAGTACCGTTCTCAACGTGTGTTAACACCTGGTATCAATACGTTTTGACACTGACGCATGAACATCGACCCTGCTTTATGCAGAGATTTCTATTGGCTATGGAAAGAGTTTTGTCGCCTTATTTACACACGACATCCAGTCTCAAGATTGGTTAGAGAACTGATTAACTTGGAAGAGTTTTGTTCGATCGTTGATTGTTGTTGACTGGAGTGTTGACTGGTGTATAACTGTATGAGTGTATTGTTGTTACTGCAATGCTGACTGTTGTATAACAGTATTGTTGTTACTTGAGTGCTGACTGATGTATAACTTTATAACAGTATTGTTGTCACTGCAGTGTTGATTGTTGTATAACTGAATGACAGTATTGTTGCTACTGGAGTGCTGACTGATGTATAACTGTATAACAGCATTGTTGCTACTGGAGAGCTGACTGATCTATAACTGTATAACAGTATTATTGCTACTGGAGTGCTGACTGTTGTATAACAATATTGTTGTTACTGCAGTGTGACTGTTGTATAACTGAATGACAGTATTGTTGTTACTGGAGTGCTGACTGATGTATAAATGTATAACAGTATTGTTGTTACTGGAGTGGTGACTGATGTATAACTTTATAACAGTATTGTTGTTACTGTAGTGGTAACTGTTGTATAACTGAATGACAGTATTGTTGCTCCTGCAGTGCTGACTGATGTATAAATGTATAACAGTATTGTTGTTACTGGAGTGGTGACTGATGTATAACTGTATAACAGTATTGTTGTTACTGGAGTGCTGACTGTTGTATAACAGTAATGTTGTTGACTGTAGTATTGACTGATGTTTAACTGTATAACAATATTGTTGTTACTGCAGTGTTGATTGTTGTATAACTGAATGACAGTATTGTTGCTACTGGAGTGCTGACTGTTGTATAACTGTATGACAGTACTGTTGCTACTGGAGTGCTGACTGTTGTATAACAATATTGTTGTTACTGCAGTGTTGACTGTTGTATAACAGTATTGTTGTTACTGGAGTGCGGACTGTTGTATAACAGTATTGTTGTTACTGGAGTGCTGACTGATGTATAACTGTATAACAGTATTGTTGCTACTGTAGTGTTGACTGATGTATAACTGTATAACAGTATTGATTGTTACTGCAGTGTTGATTGTTCTATAACTGAATGACAGTATTGTTGCTACTGGAGTGCTGACTGTTGTATAACTGTATGACAGGATTGTTGTTACTGGAGTGCTGACTGATGTATAACAATATTGTTGTTACTGCAGTGTTGACTGTTGTATAACAGTATTGTTGTTACTGGAGTGCTGGCTGTTGTATAACTGAATGGCAATATTGTTGCTACTGGAGAGCTGACTGATGTATAACTGTATAACAGTATTGTTGTTACTGGAGTGCTGACTGTTGTATAACAGTATTGTTGTCACTGCAGTGTTGATTGTTGTATAACTGAATGACAGTATTGTTGCTACTGGAGTGCTGACTGATGTATAACTGTATAACAGCATTGTTGCTACTGGAGTGCTGACTGCTCTATAACTGTATAACAGTATTATTGCTACTGGAGTGCTGACTGTTGTATAACAATATTGTTGTTACTGCAGTGTTGACTGTTGTATAACAGTATTGTTGTTACTGCAGTTGACTGTTGTATAACTGAATGACAGTATTGTTGTTACTGCAGTGTTGACTGTTGTATAACAGTATTGTTGTTACTGCAGTTGACTGTTGTATAACTGAATGACATTATTGTTGTTACTGCAGTGTTAACTGTTGTATAACTGAATGACAGTATTGTTGCTACTGCAGTGCTGACTGATGTATAAATGTATAACAGTATTGTTGTTACTGGAGTGCTTACTGTTGTATAACTGTATGACAGGATTGTTGTTACTGGAGTGCTGACTGATGTATAACAATATTGTTGTTACTGCAGTGTTGACTGTTGTATAACAGTATAACAGTATTTATTGTTACTGGAGTGTTGATTGTTGTATAACTGAATGACAGTATTGTTGCTACTGGAGTGCTGACTGATGTATAACTGTATAACAGCATTGTTGCTACTGGAGTGCTGACTGATCTATAACTGTATAACAGTATTATTGCTACTGGAGTGCTGACTGTTGTATAACAATATTGTTGTTACTGCAGTGTGACTGTTGTATAACTGAATGACAGTATTGTTGTTACTGGAGTGCTGACTGATGTATAAATGTATAACAGTATTGTTGTTACTGGAGTGGTGACTGATGTATAACTTTATAACAGTATTGTTGTTACTGTAGTGGTAACTGTTGTATAACTGAATGACAGTATTGTTGCTACTGCAGTGCTGACTGATGTATAAATGTATAACAGTATTGTTGTTACTGGAGTGGTGACTGATGTATAACTGTATAACAGTATTGTTGTTACTGGAGTGCTGACTGTTGTATAACAGTAATGTTGTTGACTGTAGTATTGACTGATGTATAACTGTATAACAATATTGTTGTTACTGCAGTGTTGATTGTTGTATAACTGAATGACAGTATTGTTGCTACTGGAGTGCTGACTGTTGTATAACTGTATGACAGTAGTGTTGCTACTGGAGTGCTGACTGTTGTATAACAATATTGTTGTTACTGCAGTGTTGACTGTTGTATAACAGTATTGTTGTAACTGGAGTGCGGACTGTTCTATAACTGAATGGCAATATTGTTGCTACTGGAGTGCTGACTGATGTATAACTGTATAACAGTATTGTTGTTACTGGAGTGCTGACTGTTGTATAACAGTATTGTTGTCACTGCAGTGTTGATTGTTGTATAACTGAATGACAGTATTGTTGCTACTGGAGTGCTGCCTGATGTATAACTGTATAACAGCATTATTGCTACTGGAGTGCTGACTGATGTATAACATAAATGTATAGCAGTGTTGTTGCTACTGGAGTGCTGACTGATGTATAACTGCATAACAGTATTGTTGTTACTGGAGTGCTGACTGATGTATAACTGTAGTGTTGACTGAAGTATAACTGTATAACAGTATTTATTGTTACTGCAGTGTTGATTGTTCTATAACTGAATGACAGTATTGTTGCTACTGGAGTGCTGACTGTTGCATAACTGTATGACAGGATTGTTGTTACTGGAGTGCTGACTGATGTATAACAATATTGTTGTTACTACAGTGTTGACTGTTGTATAACAGTATTGTTGCTACTGGAGTGCTGACTGATAT